TAAAGTTAGGAAAAATGAAAAAAGTAACAATAATATATTAGAAACGGTAAGAGAACCCTCATACGTGACAGGACTTTTGTTAAATCTCATGTGAAATCCAAACATTTTTTTAAGTACAGTGATAGATGTGAATCCTCATGAAATAATAGCAAGGGTTTTTAATTAAAGATATATGTCTAATTTGGGACAGCGGTAATTCTTCGGATTTGCTACACCGCAATCAGGGATTCGATTCCCCTCGGTGGACACAGCAGATGGCCCGATGTTGCTTTCATATAACAAAAAGAAAACAAAACACACATATACACACACACTTATTATTAATAATCGTCAAAACGAGTAGCATATCTAAATACTGTCCTAGTTAATAGACCCCTGTCATAAAATATCTCCAAACGGCCACATTTTGCAACAAAACTGAGAAAAAAGTATGACCTCACGGAAAAACAAAACAAAAATTTTAAGTGAGAAACAACAAAACAAAAACGATAAGGCAGGGTAAATATTTAGGAAAATGTGTAATAAGACGAATTAACACTTATGTTGAATACAAACGTGAAGAGATAAACCACCAATAACTTCTAAAACCAAAGGTTTCAATATAGAATTCTTACCTCTATTTGTAATTTAAATCTGTATAAATTACTATTTGATCTAGCTTGACGACATACATCATTCACAGTCATAAATAAATTTTTTACAACTAATCAACATTTTTTGAAAAAAATAAGGATGACAATGCCAAAAAGTATAGAAACAGTGTAAGAATAAATACAAAAAAACATACAAAAATCCCTACATAAGTAGCCAAATCTTTCCAAGAAAAACCTTTATTTGCAGTTAAATGTTAAATTTTTATCATTTACAGGAATTCAGGTTTGAATAAAACCATTTAAGCTGAATAAAGCTGTGAAGTCTTATTATGACTAATTCCCATAAGCTTGTAATATTGACTCAGTGGCTACTTATGTAGGGATTTTTGTATGTTGTTTTGTATTTATTCTTACATTGTTTCTGTACTTTTTGGCATTGTCATCCCTACATCATCCATATTTTTTCATTTTTTTATATTACTAGTTTCCTTCCTATTTTTTTAAACAATACCAATGAATATTTTATAATGATTGGCAGTCACTATGAAGGCAGCAGTATTAGCCTGGTGTGATGAGTTGTCTTGACTGACATCATATGTTGAAGTTAGTGCTTCTGAGCTCCCCATGTTAAAATGCAACAGCTTGGCGTGTAAGTCGGTGCATTATCTTCAAGCATACGTGAGCTAGCCCTTCTGACGTCAGAATCAGAATAATCAGCAGAACATATGGCTGTTACCTCACTCTCCAGTTCTCTACTTTAGCGATATGTTTCCGCTACACTGAAGGTCTTAATAGTTTTTGAAAACATGGAAAAACTAAGCTAATTGCTTATAAAAGTATCTTAGATTGTTATAAGAGAGATTTGAGACTATGATGAACAATACATAATATGCGTCGGCCATTTTTTCCCGGCCCATCCATACATAATAAGCACTACCGCGCTTAGTGATAGGGACCTTAGATTGAAAATTACGGTACATATTGAAACAATGTTTGGATTGCACCATGACATACAATACTATCTGGGGTCTTTTAATTAGGGTTTAAGCTAAGGCATACAATACTATCTTGAGTTAGTAAACTTGGGTTTAAGCTAGGCATACAGTACTATCCTGAGTTATTTAATCTGAATTTACGTTAAGGCATAGAGTACTATTTTGAGTTATTTGATTTGAGTTTAAGTTAAGACATACAGTAAAATCTCGAGTTATCTACTTTTAAAGCTAAAACATACAATACAGTCTCCATTTATCTAATATGAGTTTAAATTAAGGTATATAGTACAAACCTGGAGTTCTATAATTTGTACAATCTCCAGTAATGTAAAGTGGGTTTAAGTTAAATAATACTGTACGATATGGAGTTATGTAAGATAAGATACAATACACCAAAATACTTACCACAGAATTTCAGTAACTCGTAGGAGTCAGATTGCATTCTGACAGGCCCAAAAATCGGTACTGAAAAAAAATGAACACTTTGTTTTTTGTTGAATATTACAATACCTAGTTTTTGTTGAAAATTAAACTTCTTAGTTATTTTTCTAACTTTAAAAACTTAATGCATTAAATAATCTTACATTTTGTATAAAAATTGATTTTTAGACCACACTCACAAAAAAGACTACCAATAATACAAAAGATCAGATAAAAAAACATGGCTCACAGAAAGGCGAATACAGGGAGTCAGAATCCCCCCTTTTCCAAATTATAAAAACGGCAAATATAAGGAGTTTATTACTGAGTTTATGGAGCTCTAAGGTAAGCAATAAGTTTAACACGATAAGAGTAAGTTTCTACTTTATTAGTTAACATATTATTGATGTATTATTACATGCATCATTGGAACAAGGCCTACAAATCATTAAGTTATATTTTAGTCTAAGAAATGAACTATTCCTTCTTTATCAAAATTCTGTATCTGCTCCTGTGGCGATCAATACCTGAAACTTAATCTTAGAAATAACACTCACTTTCTACATCAATAAAAGTATTTTGGGAAATTTCAGTCAAACGTAACAGCACATTTTCAAAAATGTACAGTCAACAATTTCCAGAAAAACTCGATGGATGATATTCTAAAGTATTAAACAGAGTAGAATAAGCTAGTAAACATCACCTACCATCAACTCTTGGGCTACTAAAGTATCAACGTCTCAGAAGTAAGGAGCGAGATTTATATTATGGGACGTGAAACTCGCACCATCGGAAACACAGTTCGGCACGCTAACCACTAGATCACTCTAGTCTCTGCAAGGATCCCACTGCGATTTTTAATAATACTAGGGATAAAAAAAGAATATCGTCACTGTACAAAAATAAATAAACAAAAATCTGCTTAAAACATTATTTCTGATTCGAAGAATATTTCAAAATAAGAATTGTTAAAAAACAACAACAACAGTGACTTTCTTCAATTAACAACAAGAGCAATCAGAGAGATTGCATACCCTCGCCTTACCGCAAATTTTTGGATTTTGGTTTCAATGTGCGCCTGAAATTCGGTCCTAATCCGTTCACTTTTTATACAGTTATTATCAACAAATTGAGAAAATGCCCTATATCTCCATTATAAAAATGTTTCAAAGTGATCCATAATCCGGATCTGGACCAGATTTTGGGAGGATCGTCCTATGAGAACATCCTATCTCCTGTGAAAATGTCACGTAAATCGGTTTATTATTTTTTGAGATACGCGTGCGGACACCCATATGTACAGCCCCAAATGCAATACCCTCACTCCTCTTTTCTGAGGGGGCGAGTGTAATTACCATACAGCCAAGGCCCGACCAGGTCTGAGCTTCTTCGGGAATACCTAATTTCCTAAATACGGTTAGGCTTACATTTGCAATACATGATTATAATGCGGGTCAAGAATCTGGCTTTCGAGGGCCTGATGTAGCCTGCAGGCCATATATTGAGAACCACTGGATGATATGGATAAGATATTATAACGACTACGTCTACAGGATTTACAAGTAACAATAAGACTAGCCTTATATCATAAAAAGTTTCAAAAATGAAAATCGTAAATTTTAAGCATGCCTTCTACATAATTAATATAAAATTTACCCATAGGATATATTACCTATTTTGTATTTCACCATAATGGCGGCGATCTGGATCCGCATGATCCACGTTCGATTTCTTTTTTTTTCTTTTTAATTAAGCAATATGTTTGTTTGTTATGGACATCGCGCAAAGCTACACGAGGGCTATCTGCGCTAGCCGTCCCTAATTTAGCAGTGTAAGACTAGAGGGAAGGCAGCTAGTCATCACCACCCACCGCCAACTCTTGGACTACTCTTTTACCAACGAATAGCGGGATTGACCGTCACATTATAACGCCCGCACGGCTGAAAAGGCGAGCATGTTTGGTGTGACGGGGATTCGAACCCGCAACCCGCAAATTGCGAGTCGGGCCGCAAGCAATATGTTAAGGATTCTTGTCAAAATTATAATACATTTGTATCTGTTAGCATACTGTTTTCATGGTATTTTCACCGCTTCATCGAGAGATATGATTTTGTTGAGAATGGAATAATACTGATATTGATCCAGATGGAGCTTTAATGTTTTGGATAGGACGTAAAAAAACCGGCCTTATTTGAAACATCAATAAACAGTTAATGAGTTCAAAATTATAGCTTGATATAATTAAAATTGAATTTTTAAGAATTTTCAAATTTGAACCCTCTCAGATTCAGAAGGATCAATGGATCCAGATCATTTTTTGCGGAATCCTAGAGAGCCTCAATGTTGAAATGCCTGTAAAATTTGGTCAAAAACTGGAAAAATTCCCCATCTCTCCATGTTAAAAATCCTTCAAAGTGATCAAGAATATGGATTTGAAAAAGATCATCCTAAGGGGACGCCCTATCTCCTGTAAAAATGTCACATAAGCCGGTTTATTATTTTTTGAGATACTCGCGCGGACTTACATACAGACCCAAATGAAAAATCATTTCTTGATTTGTGCTAACCTAACGTTAATGATAATGTAACCTTTATTATAACAACAACAAATACGATTCCTCAATGTTCCTCGAGATAAGAGTAAACTGAACCCAGTAAATAGTATATTTCTTGACCAGATCATTCTGAGGATGTGGTTTAAGACAAATATATAACTAATCGGTAATTTTGTTTTGACTTCTCCAGACATTTAGCTCTGTACATTTTCAGTAGTATCAGATGTTTGAAAATATATTGAGAATCATGAATTACTTATGCTCGTAACGTGTACATTTTTACTCAAAAATAAAGAGCAACAGAAATTACTTTAGGTGTACTAAAAAAACTGATTACAAAAGCAATTTCGTTTCATACACATATCAACATATATCACATGTTACGATTGATATTTTAAACGGTCTTTCTGCAAGAGATATAAAATCTTGTGTTACAAAGACTCACCTGTTTGTAATACATAATACACATCTTTCTTAGGAATAAAACTTAGTTAAAGGCTTAAGAAGCGATAAGTCTACTTTAGTAAATTCACGTGACATGTTTGATGAATTCCTAAAGGCACATATTCACATGATAAATTCATCAACACGGTTAACAACTTTTCTACTAGTACCTAATGTAGTAAGATTGATTTCTAAAACTTAAACTCCACCGAACTTTTGTTTTTATTATGAACTAGCAATTTTAGTATCGTGTAATGAACATATTCATTAAACTTTAATTTTAATTAAAATCCTGTAATTTCTTTATATGTTAGCCCATGTGTATAAACTGTGTATAAGCTTATATTAAGACTTCGTGATTAAAATCTATTTTTTTTTTATTTCTTCATTTTATCCAGATGCCATCTTGCGGCTAGTGTCTAATGAAGTGCCGCAGCACAAAATTTTCTTAAAATAGTCTTATATAGATCAATACACGACATTTGTGGGATTAGCAAATCTCGAAATGTTTCTACTCGCATGTCTACAACGCCACCTGTTTAATTTCCTTAGGATCCATATATTCATTGCAATAAATACAATTAAATCACATTTGTGTCCAAGAATATTACGGTGATTTTATGTAATATTTTGTCACATAAAGTGCTTTTATTTGTTTGTTTGTTTTAGAGCAAAACCACATTGTGCTCTCTGCTGTGTCCACCGCTGGAAATCGAACCCCGGGTTTTAAAGTTGTAAGACAGTAGACTTACCGCTGTCCCCCCCCCCCCCCTGGGGACAAATAAAGCGCTTCATGTTTTGTTGTGGGTGAATTCTCAATATTCTATGATTGAAGGCCAAACTATATTAAAAATGTTGATAACGTGTATTAACAACAATAATTAAATTACGGTGAAATACCAAGCTTGTATGTTATCAAGTCTACTTTTCCAAGACGTGCCAAAAGCAGCATGATAAATGGATAACTATCAGTTAATAAAATGTTCATATATTGTGCACATCGAATAAAGAGGTTAAAAAACAATCAAAAACAGATAATGATACACCAAAAAACTTTGCCTTGTTATCTGATGTCTTTGTCACCGGAATCGACTTGCCCAACTCTTCTGTAACACAAGCTTAAGTACATACATATACACGTATCCTTGAATTTCCCGTTCAGACTTTTCGCATGGACTGAATAACTTATGCAAACACGTCATTGCCAACGTCATAAGCAATATTTCATCATGATCCTTTTTCGCGCACGTTATTCAGTGGATTAGTTTATTTATATTTTCATAGATGCTAGTTGTCAGCCAGCATGATAATCGCGATCACCCATTGGTCAAAATTGTTATCGTAAATCATTTTTTCTTTCTTTTCCCGTTAGTTGGTTGTCTTTATTTTGCTTTCACTTCCCTGTTTTCCATTATTCATCTACATACTCTTTTTTTTTAATCCATTTCCTTCATTTTCTTAGTTTCTTTCCATGTTCTTCCTTAATTTTATTATTTCGTAATTTTCGTATACTTTTATTTTTAACAAACGTCTTCATTTTCTTTTTTCTCTTTCAGAGTTTAGTCTTAAACTCCATCTATTGACAATTGTAATTATTTGATAATAAAATAAATAATTTGATAAATACCGAGTGGATAAATCTAATGAAGCGTAACGTGCAATAGAAGTTAAACATTGTTCTTAAAAGGGTTCGTCTTTTTTAAATCAAAAATTTAAACTAAGGTTCATGTGTAAATACTGATGTAGAAAAAAGGCCATTTTAACATGAAATAGGCAGTCAAAATACAGCTCTCATATATATAATGCTTAAAAAACTAGATTTTTACAACCTGTTTTGGTAAAGAGAAACTTGAACATCATAAAGCGAGTTTTAACACTGATTTTGAAAAATGGCTTAGTTTGTTCACATAAAATAGTACGTAACTCTGAAACAAGCCAAGTCACTAAAATAGTTACTGTCTATCAGTGTATAAACTGACATTAAAGAGTGCTTTTCATGACAATGAACAGCAAACTTTACAAGAACAGTCGAGGCAAAGCTAATGAAATATATTCTTAGCATAAAGGGCCATTTAAGAAAAATGTGCAGAAATTATTTCACAGAAATTAAGTTTCTTCTTCTCATTTTTTTCAACCTAAACGACAATTTATGTGACACAAGGGCTAAACGGTCAGTTCAGAACTTCTTATGCATAACCGACCATAATTTAGAGGTAATATTCTTAGAGAGATAGAGGTCAACCAGTTAGCAGCACCAGCCGCCTACGTGGATATTATTAACCATATAGTGGGATTGGCTGTCAAAGTTATAACCCCCTAGAGCTGAAAGTACGGATAGCATTCAGCAGCATATCCTGGCTCGAACCTTGGACCATTTGATTCGAAACCTGGCACGCTAACCATTTGGCCATGCCAAGCTCGTCATTATTATTATTATTATTCATTGACGGTAAATATGCTCTAATAATCAGGTGGCATTTTGTAAAGTTCGTATAACTCCAAGAAAACATAAGCTTATAAAAGTATAATCCAAATTTTATTCTACGTTTTATTTTCAGTTGCACAATGTTTGTGATATACACAAAAACAATCCTACATTTATTTAACAATTAAAAGGATAACGACACTTCTGATGAACAATATTGTTTATTTATATCAAAAGGGCCACTGATATAAATAGATAATGTAGTTCATCAGAAGTATCATTTTTCTTTTTATTGCCAAACGTCGTTTTCCTTTTAACACATTTATTTAATTGTATTTTTTCCAGTTCAATAACAAGCAGAATACTTTGCCTAAACATAAATCTTAATTCGTCATTTGAAGATATTTTTGAACTTACTGAAACTGCTAATACTATATAAATCCTATCATGCACGTTACTT